AAATACTATTAAAAAGACAGCAAAACAAATGCTTGCATTCACACTCATTCCTATGTGGTAAGGCAACAAACATATGGGAAACCAAATCAACAGTAATGGGGTTACGGCCCCCAACTAATGTGCTGCAATGAATGCTCAAAACTAGCAATCTTCTCTGCATGTTTGTAGTTTCAAACAGCTCCAGAGATAAAAATTATTTGTATTAGTTCTTTCTTTATAAGTGGCGTTAAGGTTTGTAGAAATGGGAAAGTATGAATTGCAGGTGGAAAAGTATACAGTTTTCCTATGAGGCTGGACTTACAGGACATCCTGTAAAATGCATATTTACTGTTATGGAGAGACAAAGGACCTAATGTAGGGAGGAAAGAAGAGAGGTTGAAAAAAATAAAATTAAAGCATTTTATGAATCAGGCAGTTCGTACTTCATTGTGCTTACATACTGGTAGGATATTATGTTAAGCACAGCTTATACCAGGAATCAATAAACTATGGTTCAAGGACCAAATCCAACCCACCATTTGTTTTTATCAACAAAATTTTATTGGATAAAGCCATGCTCACTGGTTACACATCTTCTGCCACTGTAATGGCAGAGTAGAGTAATTGCTACAGAGAACATATGGCCTGCAAGCCTAAGATAGTTACTACCCATCCATTTACAGAAAAAGTTTATAAACCCCTGCTTTAGATAGTTTGAGGCTGCAATACTTAGAGGTATTCCTAAGGATTTACAGTCATAGGTAGACTACAATGAGTGGGTCTCCCCATAGTCTTTGGGAACGGTTGACATGAAGATGAACTTTGAGTGTAGGTTGAAAGATGACCAGAGAAATGTCTATGTGTTCTAATGGTGCGTGTTGAAGGGGCAGGGCCCAGCGTGCTGATTCTCAGCTGCTGTCTGCAGGATCCTTATGATTTGCTGACCAAGTGTTCGCCAACCTCAGATCTGCTTTCCAGCCAGCTTTCCCTTCATTCTTGCCACATGAAACTTTAGCCACCTGCCCCAGCATCAGTGAGGGCCCCCCAGAGCTAGGGGCTCAAACTGATTAGCCCAATTTGTTATACTTGAGAATTTGGTAGTGGGAAGTCATACAAAAATGGTACACTGTTAAACACAGCACTTACTGAACAGGGTGTTATGGGATAAAATACCCATCATGTGATGCATACAAAAGGCATAAAATATGTAACTTGAGGGAGAGCCACCAGCTGGTGTCATGAGCCAGGAATTCCCAAGAATGATGAGATTTGAGACAGGCTCTCAGGAATGGGAAAATACGGGTATATGGAGAAGGGTGGAATACTCACCCTTGTGAAATCAGTGGCAATTTCCTCTTCTCTAGAACAGAGCTAAGCAACAGCTGGCTGACTTCCTACAGAGAACAGCCTTTGTACACAGGGACTAAAGACATGGTCGAGGCTTTATACTCTAGGATTAAACAACCTCAGACCTTAAAGATATGGAATTTCTCAGCACAATTCTCACTATTGTTCATTCAGGAATTTTTATTTGTCTGATCACATTTCTCCCCAGTGCTATTACAATGTAAAGCCACAGGAGATATTTTGCAATTTACACATTGACAAAGAAAGAAACGCTTATTCATAAATCCATTTAAATGAAATTCACATGGAATGAATTAAGGTAGAAACAGCAATAAGCTTATTTTCAAGGTAGGGAAATTGAGGTGTGAGAACAATTTCCCAGAGTGACAATTAGTGCCAGATTAGTTACTGAACTCAAGTCTATTAACTTGGAGTGCATAGAGCTGATATAGAGTCAATATGCATGAGTGAGACTTAGTTGAGATATTTTTTAAAATTTTCCTTTTTGGTTGGTGAATATTCACTGCTTTGAGTTCCAAAAGACTGAGGTGACTCTAATTCTTGCTTTTACCAGGAAAGTCCTGGTTTACACCTGTCATTCTCAAAACTGTCCCAGTTTGGGTGATAAATTATACCCCATACCGCCTTGGACCTCTTTAAAAACTAGCAAGTAGTTGGTGCGGGGTTAATGCCCACATAGTCAGGGCCTATGGAGGGGAGCATGGCCCACACGGTGTCCTAGCCTAAGCAGTTATTAAATATTTTCAATATTACTCCTGTTGGCTTAGTGTTATTCAGAGTCACAAATTCTCTAGGTGGCTTACAGTCATTCTCCTGCATCCTGTGGCTTTGACAGCACCCTGCAGGGGAGGACTCTTATGAACTGTGTCCAGTGTCCTCTTGTGACCTGCATGGCTCTGAGGATCTGGTCCAGGTGATCCATTCACACCTCTCACCAGCCCACATCCCTCACCAGTCCTCATTTTCTGTGCTCTTGCCTGTGGGCCTCCTTTCAGTTTCATGAGAGCAACTCTTCTCCCACACTCTTACTCTGCCTCTAATGTTCCTTCTCCCTCCTCATCTAGCTAAGGCATCCTCTAGACCCCAGCTCTGTTATCCCTTCCTCAGGCAAGCTTTCCCTGACCTTCTGTGGTAACAAAATTCTAAGATGACTGTGCAATGGTTAATACTGAGTGTCAACTTGATTGGATTGAAGGATGCAAAGTAATGATCCTGGGTTATGTGTGTGAGGATGTTGCCAAAGGAGATTAACATTTGAGTCAGTGGGCTGGGAAAGGCAGATCCACCCTTAATGTGGGTGGGCACCATCTAATCAGCTGCCAGTACGGCCAGAACATAAAAGCAGGCAGAAAAACATGAAAAGGCTAGACTGACTTGGCTTCCCAGCCTAGATCTTTTTCCCGTGCTGGATGCTTCCTGCCCTTGAACATCAGACTCCAAGTTCTTCAGCTTTGGGAGTCGGACTGGTTTCCTTTCTGCTCAGTTTGCAGATGGCCTATTGTGGGACCTTGTGATTGTGTGAGTTAATACTACTTAATAAACTCCCCTTTATATATAATATACTCCCCTTTATATATAATATACTCATATATATGTGTGTGTGTATACACACACACACACACACACATCCTATTAGTTCTGTCACTCTAGAGAACCCTAATACAGACCCCTAAGACCTTGGCCCCCTGGTATGCTCACATCCTCTAGTTATTCACAGAAACTGACCTAGGTACTGCTGTGAAGAGATTTTGCAGACACAATTAAGTTCCCAAATCAGTGGATCTTAAGATGAGGAGATTACCCTTGGTGAGCCTAACCCAATCAAGTAATCGCTAAAGAGGGTCTGGGTTCTTCCAGAAGAAAAAGATTTAAATCAGGTAAAAAATACACGTGAGAGAGGTTCCCCGTTACTGGCTTTGAAGGTGGTGGAGACCATGTGACACAGTGTGGGTAGCTTCTAGGACTTCATCACTGATATCATTTGGCTGTGTTCCCACCCAAAATCTCATCTTGAATTGTAATCCCCATAATCCCCACGGTGTCAAGGACGGGACCAGGTGGAGGTAATTGGATCATGGGGGCAGTTTCCCTCATGCTGTTCTTGTGTTAGTGAGCGAGTTCTCACGAGATCTGATGGTTTTATAAGCATCTGATATTTCCCCTGCTTGTTCCTACACCGTCCTGCTGCCCCGTGAAGAAGGTGCCTGCTTCTCCTTTGCCTTCCACCATGATTGTTAGTTTCCTGAGGCCTCCCCAGCCATGTGGAACCGTGAGTCAATTAAACCTCTTTCCTTTATAAATTACCCGGTCTTGAGCATTTCTTCATAGCAGTGTGAGAATGGACAAATACAATCGCAGTCCCCAGCAGTAAGCCTGTATGGTAGTCTGCATGCCTGCCGTAACAAAGCACCACAGACTAGGGGCTTAAACAGCAGACATTTTTTTTCTCACAGTTCTGAAGGCTGGAAGTCCCAGATTAGGGTCCGTCAGGGTAAGGTCCGGCAGAGTCAGTTTCCGGTCAGACCTCTCTTCCTGGCTTGCAGATGACAGCATTCTCACTGTATCTCCATGTGCCGCTTCCTCTGTGCTCCAATGGGGAGACAGAGAATCTGTCTTCATCTGTTTATAAGGCCATCAATAGGCAAATAGGATCATATTTAACCTTAATTACCTCCAAAGGCCCTCTGCCCAAATGCAGTCACATTGGAGGTTTCAACAAATGAATTTAGTGCAGAGCAACCAGCTAGCAAACAGGACCTCGTTCCTATGACTGCAAGAAACAGATCTTTTCCAATATCCGAATGGAGGTTCTAAGTGAATCCTCTTCGGAGCCTCCAGACTAGAACTGAGTGTGACCAAAGCCTTGATTTTAGCCTCTGAGACCCTGAGTGCAGAACCCAGTCCTACCATTCCTGGAATTCTGAGCTATGCAAGTTTGAGATAATAGGTAGATATTGTTTTAAGCTGCTAACTTTGTGGTGGTTTGGTGCAATGTGAGAGAAAACTACTACGCCCACAGGCCAGTTCACACACCTTTCTTCCCTACTCATACAACCATACTGTCTCCTTTTGTTACTTTCATTCAATTTGCAGTTATATATTGAGTTGTGTGGTATGTTGAATAATGTTGCCCCAAAATTCCTGCCCACTGGGAACCTTAGAATGCGATCTTATTTGGCACAAGGCCTTTGCAGATGTAATTAGTTAAGGATCTTGACATAAAATCATCCTGGAGTTAGAGTGGACCCTGAATCCAGTAACTGATTTCCTTATAAGAAGTGAAAACAGAGGTACACAGAGAAAAAGATGATGTAAAAATTGAGGCAGAGATTGGAGTGAAAATGTCTAGAAGTCAAGGAATTCCGAAGCTGGAAGAGGCAAGGAAGGATTTTCTCTCAGAAACTTCAGAGGAAGGCCAGGCACGGTGCCTCATGCCTGTAATTCCAGCAATTTGGGAGGCCAAGGTGGGTGGATCACTTGAGGTCAGGAGTTCAAGACCAACCTGGCTGACATGGTGAAACCCCGTCTCTACTAAAAATACAAAAATTAACTGAGCATGGTGGTGGACACCTGTAATCCCAGCTACCTGGGAGGCAGAAGTGTGAGAATTGCTTGAACTTGAGAGGTGGAGGTTTCAGTGAGCCAAGATTGCACCATTACACTCCAGCCTGGGTGACAGAGTGAGAATCCATCTGAAAAAGAAAAAAAAAAAAAACTTCAGAGGAAGCACGGCCACGCCAGCATCTTAATTCCAGGCTTCTGCCCTCCAGAACTGTGAGAGAGTACATTTCTGTTAAGTCACCCAGGATGTGACGAAAATGTGTATACACACTTTCAATTTTTGAACTCTCCCTACCGAGGCTCTTCAGTTAAGGAAATGTATATTTTTGTCCAGCATGGTGTCTCCAGTACCTTTCCCAAAATAGGTGCTTAATAAATAAATCATCATCTAATTAATGAAGATATGAATGGAAAATCAGTGAGCACTTTGCCTTACCTCTCATTAGTTGATTTTCCATTTCCACAAGCTAAGGAATACGTATCTGAGAAGGAGTACACAGCACAAGTCCAGGTTTGAAGTCAGTCAGAAAACTACATATGTGAAGACCACAGCCTCTCATATTCTCCTTCTACAACAGAAACAGCAATGGTCTTCATTTATTTCCATACGGGGCCAGGCATGATATTTGACAAAAGTTCAGTCCTGGACGTCTAAGGTAATGTAGACTATTATGAGAGCCTCTGAAGCTAGCCCCATTGTAGTCAGGTTCTGAGGCTGCACTCTACAGAAACTGGCCCTAACACAAGCAATAATAGGACAACCTATGGGTACACACTGAGTAAGCCACAGAATTGAAGGAAGAGTTGAGCTAAGCTAGCCTTCTGGAAGTGCAGGAACTGAGGCACCATTGGGTAACTGGCAGTTTAGAAACAGGCTGTCTTGCCCTCCCTTTGGGGCTCTATCTTTGGATCACACAGCTGCGACCACCCTTTGTGTCTCAGAGCTAAAGATTACATTTTCCAGGAGAGGAAATCTGATTGACTAACTTGAGTCACATATTCACTGCTGTGATCAGAGCCTTGTGGTTGGCAGTTCCACTAGACCTTGTGAGGTAGGGAAGTTCCACACATAAAGATGGTGTTCCCCGAAGACAGAGATAGGATGCTCGGCAGACAACCAGGCCAACTTCCTCTAAAGTCTTCATGTCAGCTCATCCTCAAACCACAGTGACCCGAAAAAATATTTGCTCTGTTATTCCATCTGCTCTTCTAAAATGCACCTCCTCTTCTGGTATCAGGGCCTCTTTACTCCTTGGGCAACCTTCTCTACAGTCATGTGGTATCAGTGGAGCTCCAGGAATGCACAGGCGACCCTGGCCAGACAAATCCAGACCAAGGAGCTTTAGGTTCCTTGAACATATTAGAGAAAAAACACTATTTTTCCTTTGGAGGTTCCTAAGAATATAGGGTGTAACTCTTGAAAGTCTATTACCACACAAAATGAAATGCTTGACTGAGAGTGAAGGCCACACAAGATAAAATTTGAGTCCAGGGCTGAGGAGAGCAAGATTGAGCTACAATGAT